ATCAAAACACAAACAACTCTAAATTGTTTACATTTTAATTTTCATGTTCTAAAATAAAAAAATAAAAAAAATAAAAAATTGTTAGCTTTCGAAAACTAGTTAAAACACCGATCTATTTTCCAAATAACTTTTTTTTTGTCATTTTTATTGGAAGCCGAAAAGGAGTTATTAAAGACATCACTTAAATAGATTCTCAAAACTTTCTTTCTCCAACCCCATTTGATTTGGAGAAAACATTTTACTAGAATGGAGATAAGAATAAAGATGGAAGTAAAACTTGTCAAAAAAAAATATTTTTTTAAGTGACATTTAGACTTTAGAATAATTAAAAGAAAAAATTATTGAGTTCGCGTAATCTAATAAAAAAATATGAAAATTATGATTTAAAAGGAAATGGGTACATTGTTTCTATCTTTTCAAATTAGATAATAATTCGATATGGGTATTCTTTTTTTTTTTTTCATTTTAGTTCTATAACTTCTATTGTGTACAGTGTCTCCTTTCCAATATACTAAATTATGGGAGCAAACAGGAGAAGTACGTGGATCTTTTCAATCAAGATTTCCTTAAGTGAGTTTCAGTTGAGAGATATTAATCATCAATCAAAATTTATTTTTTTCAAAGATAAACAAAAGTCTTTTTATAATATCAATATTTTAGACCACGATTTAATAGTTTATATTTTTCAACAGAGATTAGGATGAAGGACGAAAAAGTTTATTCTCCCAATGTAAATAACAAACCAAAACTACTTTTGATTTCTCTAAATGAGGGTGAGGGTTTGCATCAAAATTAAGTGTCCTGATGCCCACATACACTCACATTAACAATTCTCATGGATGATCCGAGAAGAAAGTAACATTAACCTTGCTTGGTGTTATATGTCGTAAGATAAACTTATCATAAAGTCATCCTAGGACCATACCTCCCATCGAATAATCCAGAAAGCTAGACAAACAAATCATTAGTGGCACTGCAATTTCGTGTAATAGTATTGTCCTATTGATTATTGCTATGGCAAATTAGTAGTAGCATCACTGAACGACATAGGCTGCTTGTGTAATTTATGTTTCACTGGTCGTCTCTCTCAGCCCCTCAAACACATTTATTTCAATGCAAATTTTTTATGGTTGCTTAATTGCATCATACATGTTTTTGTATCGAAAAAAAAATTGAAATTATTTTCTTGATATTCGAAATAAAACACAAATATAAGAATTATAAAAAATGATAATAAAATGAGTTTACCATCAATAATAACATTGTACTTATATAGAGACCAAGTGAATAACTCTCAAATTTGATGAATCATTACTGGCTGCTTCTAATTCTAATAATTCAGAGAAAATATGTATTTTTCAAGAGATGGGAAAGTTCCTCACCCTAACTGTAACTACTCCTTCTATTTAAAAGTATAAAGCAAATATTAAAAATATAAAGTATTTTTAATCTTTCGAGGTGTAATCATTACCTTTTTTAAAAAATGCTCATATTAATAATAACTGTATATTTATTGTAGGGTGTTTAATAAGAGTAAATATAAAAAGGTAGAGTTAATTAAAAAGTAAGTAACTACTTTATTGGAGGGTGAGATTCAGTTAAAAATATTTTACATTTTTGAACGAAAAAAGTACTCATTTCAAAATTACCTTTTCTACCATAGAGATCAAAATTACCAAGACAGGTTGTGGAAAAAGTTTGTGATACAAAATTTTCATGTATAAAAATAACATGTTCTCCACCTCCTCACTGCTCTCTAAAATAATGAGCCTAAAATACTTAAAAGATGTTTTTTTTTTCCTAGAACTAGAATAATATTGGTTTAAAAAATACACTATAATAAAAATACCTTACCAAATAGAATTTTTTTATTTTTTTATTTTTTAAACAACAAAATTGTTCCCAGAACAATTCATAGGCCCATTATTATTTTTTTAACAAAAAAGGCAAGAACAAGCTTGAACTCTTTGTAAAATATGTTTATTTTTATTCTTTTATAAAAGGGTTAGGGTTTATTTTTACTTTTGATTTTTTTTTGAGAAATGCTAAGTACCCTATATTGATAAGTGAAATAATTTTTCTTTTCAAATAATTTTTTTGAAAAGCAAAAAAACCCTTTTATTAGTCACTCGTTAACTTTGCAGTTTTTTTATTGATGTGGCATGTGTGTGTAACCCACACATAATGACAATTAGAACTCTAACTATATTTTATGGTGCTAATTTCTCTTTTTTTCTCTGAAAGATGGTTAAAACTTTATCTGGGTTTGAATCCTACTAAGAGGTCCACTAAAGATTAGAAATTGTTGAAGAAAGAACAAGATGTTTCTTTTGTTCTTTCTAAACAATCAACAAATAAAGAAATAGTCAATTCATTCTATTTCATCAGATCACTGCTAAACTCTTTTTCTATAAGCACTGGATGCTCTAAAGTCATGTTGAAATACAATTTAATAAATATGATTAAAATATTTTAATATTTAATATTTTAAATATTATTATTTATAAATATTTATCCAAAATTTATAAATTATTTTTTAAATATTAAAAACTCAAACTAATTTTTTTAAAAATATATAGACGACTTGTAATTTTTTATGTATCGATTATATGTTTAATAATGATTAAGTTCTTCAAATTTTTTATGTCTTTTTTTGTAATTTTTTTGGGTCAGCTAACACCCTTCCTCCAAAATATTATATTACCCAAATTTAATACTTTATATATACTACATTGTTAGGAATAAGATCAGAAACATGATAGACAAGGACCGGCATGCCAAGAAAAATACTTATTTAAAAAATATTACATGTCCCATTAATGTGCCACAAAAAGTGTTATTTAATAAGAGAATAGTGGAGAGATGAGGAAAAAATCCCACCATTAATTTGGAGGTTTATTTTATCCATTAATTTGGAGGTTTCAAAGTTGCAAAATATTAAAATATTAAATTTAGATGATGTAATATTTTAGAGAAAGATTATTAGTTGAACAAAAAAATTATAGAGAAAATTATAAAAAAATTAAAGAAACTTAATCGATATTAAAAATAAATTTATAATTTATAAAAAATTATAAGTCATCTATAAATTTATGAAAAATTAGTTTGAGTCACTAATAATTAAAAATAATTTATAAATTTACAATGAATATTTATAAATAATAATATTTAAATTAAATATTAAAATATTTAATATTTTAACAATATTTTTTTAATTTATTTTAATAAGATTTAGGCAAATTGGCACCCAAAACTGTCAATTTAGGCTAACTTGGCTTTAAAGGGTTAGAACCTAAGCGGGCTGACTAGATAAACTTAATTATACCTTAAAGCTTTATTTTGTAAGGTCCAACTCAAACCCTAAGAGCTAAAGGGATGGCCTTATGAGCCTCAGCCTTATTTTTCTTTTCTTCAGTTTAATTAAAAATCTAAAATAAACATATTTATAATCATAAAAAAATTATTACACATAAGATTAAATTTAGGAAAATAAATTTAAGTTAATCAACACTACAACAAATATATACTTCCTTTGTTTAAAAATATAAAATATTTTTAATCAAATTTTACCCTAGTAAAGTAGTTATTTATATTTAAACTAATCTTATCTTTTCATATTTACTCCTATTTAATAAAATATTTAAACCTAAAAAAATATAAATTAATTTATTTAATAGGGACACTTTAAAAAAAAAAGAGATAATGAGTACACCTAAAAAAACTCAAAATGCCTTAAATTTTTTAATATCCAACCCCTCAAAAAATGCCTTATATTTTTAAACGGAAGGATTAGAACTTAAATATCCATGTTTAATATCAAATGGCAATATCAAAATTAACACCAATAAAAATACTAGCATCATGAGCTTAATCTTGATGAATGAATAAGGAAGAGAGGAATGAGCATAAGGTTTTCATTTCTTTTCGTTAGATGTTTAGTCTTTCATTTTTTTTCATATTGAAGTCTTAAAAAAAATAATAAAAGGGCTTAAATGGGCTAACTTTTACAACCATTTTTTACCCCAAAAGCAACAACTCAACCTTAACTATTTTCAAGCTTAAAAGAGCTAGCTTGATCGGTCCAATAACATCAATCCTAATTAATGGCTCTAATAACATCAAAGGACATGGTTGAAGTTTGGTGTGTCACTGCACATGAGCTCCACACACATGCTACATCGTAAAAAATAACAAAGTTAACAAGTGACTAATAGTTTGCTCATAAAAAAATGATTTAGGAAGAAAATTATTTTACTTATAAATATAAAATGCCCAACGCTCTTAAAAAAGTTTAAGGATAAAAATGAATTCCCACCTTTTATAAAAATAAATGAGAACAACAAAGTGGCATCTTTTTTATTCTTGCTCTTAATATAATTTTTTCAACTTAGGTCCCATGGTTATTAAAAAAGAATGAATTAAAAAAATAAAAATAAAAATAAAATGATTAAAAAAATGATGAACCACATTTCAAAGGAAAAGAGGTAATATAATTCATGGGGTTGAGAGTCATGATTCATAAAATTTTTAGAGGGAATAATAATTCTTATATTTATAGTATATATTAATGTATTTTATCATACTCATTATGAGGAGAAAAGGTGATTTAATTTACTTTTATGTTAATTTTTTTAATTTATTTCATTTTATTAGTTTCTAATATCCACTTAAATATCCTAGGCCCAAGAGCTCAGACACTGTTGTAGAACATCCAAAGTCCAATTCATCTTGAGTTGATATAAACGGCAGTAACTACCAACTACAGTTTCTATTAAAAAAACAACCACATTATCAATAGATGTTTGGTAGAATTAATAAAGGTTACTATCGGTATTTCTTAGAGTGAAATTGAAACCTTGAATAATGACAGATACAATATTAAAGCGATCGCAAAAAGATCATTCCATCAATACCTATAACCACCACAAAGTCTCTGTTATGGGGGTTCGGATTTAGTTTTAGAGTGAGTAATGAACCCAAGCCCAAGATACCCGGTGGTCTAATGCCTAAAAAAACAACCTCGTTACCAAAAGAAACTACAGCGCCACGCCAGCCAAACAAAAATACCAAAAAGGAAAAAAAACAAAAACAATAAAAAGATTGACCTTGAGTCACGCTTCCTACCAGATGCCAACTATACCTGTGCAAACCGTCTTTTGCGAGATGGAGACACGCAATTTTTCTTTTTAAAATCCAAAACACGCACACAAAGATTCAGTGATCGTTCCATTACACAAATTCTTTAAATTCCCACCATATAGCTTGTTCTTGCACGCCGTTACGTCACGCCACAATATCTTGCCTGATGTGTTTGAGCAGCAACGGAACAACGACGCCCGGCGAACTCAGCTGCGGCAAATGACCGTCCGTCGACATGACCTCCACGATGGACTCGGCGGCGATGTGTTGGTGGAGGTACTCGGAAACCACCACCGGAACCGCCAGGTCCTTCAGACTCTGAAGAATATGGCACGGAACTGTGATTAGCCCAAGGATTTGCCGCATATCGCTTTGGAAAATCGTCCGCGCCACGCTTAGCGCTATGTCCGGTCTCATATTGAACAATGTTCTGCTAAATTCCTGAACCGCCACTGACTCCATGTCCCCACCCACCGCCAGAGGAGCGAACCCTGAGCACCACGCTTTGTAATTCGACTCAATAGCATCGAATAACTGGTTCAGCTCTTCCTGCTCAAAGCCTCCGTAGTAATCCACGTCGTTCAAGTACCTTGCCCAAACAGAAACCGCACGCGGAATTTTGAGTCAGTCGAGAGTATAATTTCATTCCTCGTCAGATTCACCTTTTAAATCCATTTCATCGAGGCAAACTAAGTGAAAATTGTGTTAATTTACCTAGGGGAAGCGGAGATCATGATAATCTTAGAGAATAGATCAGGGCGAGTGATGGAAGCAATAGCACCTATCATTGCGGAAACAGAGTGACCAACGAAGATGCAGGAATCAATATGGAGCTCTTCCAAAATGGCGAGAAGATCGTACGCGTAGCCTTCGAGGGTCGCGTAGCGTTCAAAATCGAAGTAATCGGGATTAGTGGTACCCGCACCCATGTTATCATAGAGAACGACGCGAAAATCATCGAGAAGATGAGGGACAAGGTGTTTCCATACTGATTGATCCGTGCCAAACCCATGACCCAGAACTATAAACCTCGTGCCTGATCCCAAAATTTTCACGTTCTGAGCTTCTTCCACTACTCCCATTTTGCTTCCTCCTCTCTTGCCGTGTGTATGTGCGCGCAGAGATATCTGACTTTGAGCAATGAGTGGATGTATTGGACTTGTTTGACGGTGATGACGCAGAACGAGGACCACCACACCTAAATATGTGTTTATGGGCAAAGGCAACTATCTCCCACTTGGGTTGGTTTGTGAGAAAAATCTTGTCTCATAAAACCAAGTCCACGATTGGTCATGGGTAAAAGTTTAAAGATATGTTTTTGAAGGTTTCGATACGGGACAGGATGGGACGGCGTGCGTATGTAAATGGGATGGATCCAATGTAGGATACAGAATGCGGGAAAGGTTTTCTGCTCATGTCTCTGATGAGATATATATCATTTGAATTTTAAGTTGGACAATTTTAATTTAAAATATTATTTTATATTATATTTATTTAAATAAAAATTTATAAAATAATTTTAATAATTTTTTTATTTTTAATCTGATATAAATTTGATTTAAAGGATTTAATTTAATATTAAAATTTTATAATTAATATATATTAATTATTTATATATGCTCTATTTAATTCAGATAAAATTTAAATAGTTGAGATTAAAATTTAAATGATTTAAATCTTATCTTTAGGTTGAGCAGGAAACCGTTTTCAAGCATGCGTGGGCATGGCTGAACCGTCCACGTGGGGTCTCATTGATTGTAGCTGGGTGTTATCGGGACTGTGAATAGTGAACAGCATTTATGTTAGACTCGATGAGTGAATTATGGGAAGGCCATGGCCCACTGCTATTAATACCTCAGCTGTCCGGGTCTGCGTTGTGGTTGGTTATGGCCTTTGGGCCTTACACACACTAGAGATAACCTGTGGCTTAGAGATGCTGGTTTTTTTTTGGAAGATTTTTTGGGTGGATTAACGGATTAAGAGAACTTGTTGGTGTCAAGGCATATAAAAATACCATTCAAATACCAATTAGTATTGAGTCTAGTGAAAATGATGAGTTTTTCACAATATTAATAAATTAATATTTAAATTTTTGTGAGAAGATATGTATATATTTAATATCAAATTGTGCTTTAAATAAGATTATCTTTAATAGAAAGATGTCTCTAAATAATGAAAAGAAGCTTTCAAATAAATCAATTCAGTTGACATCAATGATTGTCTTTAATCTCTCGATTTGAATATAAGTTTAGATAACATCTTTGAATTAAATTTGAACCAAAAAAAAAAAGAAATCTTTGGTACCTGTTAAATGCGTTCTGAGAACGTCATTTAATATCTAAACCTGAGATGTTAAAGTATTGAATTTAACAAAAACAAGAATAAGAAAAAGTGATGATGACAAAGAACCAGCAAGGGTCCAAATGTGTTTGAGTGCTTTTAAAAAGGACAACTAATTTGAGATCAGCTATTTCAGGCAAAAAAGAGAAAGAAAAAGAAAAAAGAAAAACAAAGTTGAGACTGGAGAACAGCTTTTTTTTTTTTTCACTGTAAGAAAGGTTGGAGGTAGGTTCAAGTAGTTGACTTAATGGCAAGATTAATTTTATTCATATGTGTATTTCCGCATGCATTCAGAAGGATTCAACAAGTAATTTGGGCTAGTATTACATGTTTTAAAATCATTTGAGATTATGTATCAAAAATCATTTAAGATTATTTTTTAATGGTATTGTACAGTTAAATTTGTTGGGCTGTGTTTGTGTTAATTAATATACACCCTTTGCACAAAAAGAAAAATCACACCATTTGCACAAAGAAATCATACTATTTAATTATTTATATGTTATGTAAATAATGTAACTCATTACTCATCTCAAATTTTTTCGGCTCACAAGCTGATGGAAAACACTAAAATTGGACTCCAATGTTCTTTTAGCGTTATTGTACAATCATTTTTTTTTTTTTTGAGATGGATATGCTCCCAATTTTGTAGTTTAGCTAAAATGCCTAGTCCATAGGTCTAGACCTTCCAATCCCATTTATAAAGCACATTTTAAAAGATTTATTTAATCTCATTTGTAAGTTACGATGCAGCTTTTTAAGTAATATTTAAAATATATTTTTAAAATTATTCTTCATAAGAGAAAAAAAAATAATATAACATCACTTTTTAAATTTATTATACAGGGATATATTTGAAATTCTATACAGTTTTATTCCTTGTACTTTTTTTTTACATTAATAATGATAAGGTTGATAGAAATGACTTATAAATATGATTAAATGAGTGTTATATTGAGCACAGTGAAAATTACCATTTTTTTCACATAAAGTGGCAAGCCAAGGCTTGAAAAAGAAAGAAAAATAAAATAAAACAAACTTAGGCTGTAATAGCCATTGCATCAAAAGCCTAATGCAAATCATTATGAACTATACCCACGTAACTAGTAGTGAATAGCTTGGAGCCAGATTAAACTATAAGGAGTCTCATGCACATCTCTGGCTAGAGAATCAACACAGCATAGTGCTTCACCGGGATTGTGTATAATTTCAACATCCCAATCATTAAAGAGTAAATATCTTGGTATAGAAATCAAGAAGAAATAATTTCTAAAGGAAATGACTTTATTCAAATTGAGGTGATGTCCTACAACATAAGATAATGGTCTTATTTATATAGGTAGGAGTTTGAACAAAAATACAAGAGTTAAAAGGAGATTACAAATGTTACAACTAGATTTTATTGACTATGATTAACTTTGGGATGTTTTTAGCTCAATGAATGCGATATGAATGAAGGTGCAGCTTATGCTTTCGTTTCATCCTCCTTGAGTTTGTGGAACTCGCTCTCGAGTCAAATTCGATATCATTGCTAATGTAAAGAGATAGATTAGTAACATTAAAAGTGGCAAACACTTTGTAAGAACTAGGCAAGTCTACCTTATAAGTATTGTTGTTGATCTTTTACGCAATCTTGAATGGACCATTAGCTCTTGAGAATAGCTTTGCATTTGGTTGTTTAGGAAAATGCTCCTTTCACATATGTATCTAATGTAACATCCTAAGTTTTTCAATTAAAAATTTTCAGTGTTTTCAAGGGTAATTTGGTCAATTTAAATAAATTATTAATTTAACAAGGTTTATGGGAAACTAATACAATTTTTGGATCCTTGGACAGCATTAGAAGGGGATAGGTCAATTTTTAAGCAGATCATGGCATTGAAGGGAGTTTAAATTTTAGTGTAACTTTTTGTGCCATGCGTCACGGCGGGCGTGTTAATGCACCACGGTGCACATACAGAATTAGCACTTATCAGTTTGTAAAAACATACCAAAAACAAAAGAGAGAAAGAGGGATAATAAGAGAGCGATGGAGGAGAGCCTGTGGTTTGCTAGGGCACGATCCTTAGGCTACTTTAAGGGCATTTAAAGCTTGAATCACTATTGGGTAAGTTGTACATTCTCTTTTCTCCCTTTTTTATGTGAAAATTTGAACATTTGGGGTAATAGGGGCTTTGATTTTAGTTCCCTTGGGTTTAGGCTGAACCCATTGGTTTATTTAAGGTCTTTAGGAGTTAAATCAAGCCTCTAATCCTAAATTTATGAGTTTTGTGGTGATTGAGAATTTTTGGTAAGGGTTTGGACGAACCTTAAGTATAATTTAAGAATTTTGAGACAATATGGGACATTGATTAGTAAATTTGGTGTATTGGGATGTTTAATAAGATGGTTAGAGTATTTGGAAATAGTTAATATTGTTAAAAAAAATTTGAGTATTTTAGACACTTAGAACCTAGAGAATTTGGAGTTATCTGGAGTGATAATTGACAATTGTCATTTATTGGTGTAGATTGATCATTGCTCGAACCTTATCGCATGTATAGAGTGTGTGGAGCTAACATTAAACCACAATAACCCTTTTGTATGTGACAAAGGAGTTAAGGTAACGAAATAATTTACACTGATTGATTATATTGCCTAACTACTTATGAGGAAATATGTTGATTTGAACTTGAGATTTAGTAATCTTGCATACTGCAAAATGTGGTTGTGCATGAAAAATCTATTTACAAATTATGAAGTATGATAAAAACTATATATATATATATGAATGAGCTAAGGAATTTGTAATGTATATGTGATATATATATATATATATATATTAAGTGTGTGCATGATCATGTTAGAGGGTGGGAGTTTACTCATAGGAAGGAGTAATGAAAGTCCATATGGCATGTATATCCTTAACATCCAATAAGGCATGGTGTTGGAGATTTTCTCCTAAGTATTCATACGGGATACAGCGTTGGAGAGTAACGCTCCTTAGCATCAATGATGTGATATTGGAGTAACGACACCCTAATTCATATGTGATAAGGGGAAACCGTAGTTCGAAAGTGGGATAGGACACCTTTGGCCGAGTGATCCTACCATTGAAAATGAGCTCAAATCATTATGAATGTACACTTAGTCCAAGAGTCTATAGTTTTGGTCAGGGTGATATGGAGGCTCGGATGGTAGAATGATCATGCTAGTGGTACAAGATTTGCATTGATGTAAATTGTATGTGGTGATATGCTAAATGTATATTTTGGAAGTTTCATAGTTTTACTCTCTTATGGTTGTACATGTTAATCATTAGTAGTGAATTATTTTGTTACTAAAATGTTTAGTTTACCTTGTGGTTATATTTTACAAGTGAGGGCTTCGTTAGAGGCAAGGGGAAGGAAGGGGCAATTGAAGAATAAAGAGCGTGTGGTATAGCTCTTCCCTTTTTCTCTTTTGGGTTTGTAATGAATATTGCCACTATATACTGCCAACTTAGGAACATGATATTATTTTGAATGTCACTTATATGAATTTGCGATAGGTATGTGTATCTTGGTCTGAGATTGATGTTGTGGATTAAGTGTGTGCTTGGCCAAGTTATACTTACTTATGATATATATATTTCAGGTGTTTTGAGTGCCAAAATGACCAAATAATTTGTGTGTTGAATTTTATCCGCTCTATTGTGTTATTATCAAATGGGGGTTTGGAGGTCATTTTGAGTGTGATTGTTTAATTGTGTTATATGAATGAATTGTTATATTGTGAGTGATCTATTTAAGATGGTCAAAGTATCTCTAAGGTTAATGGCAATTGGTATTGTCAGTTAGACACCCTTATGTGTGTTTTGAAGTGAAAACAAATCATTTTGGATTCGAATGTTCATATTTTAAATAGGTGGTTATTTAGGTGTGACACTGGTGTCATTAGCTAGAGGGCTCAAAGAACTTCGTGTGGACATTTGAACTACTCAAATCGGATGTCAGATGGTGAAATGACGTGCTTTAAAAGTTTGAAGAGCTGTCATGACA